CAGATGCAAAAAAAAAAAAAATAGACAAACGATTTGATTAGATATTTAACCACAGAAGATACTCACTTAGCTAAGAAGTTCATGAGAAGATGTTCAAAATCATTAGTCATTAGAGACATGCAAATTAAAACCACAATGACATACCACAACATACCCGCTAGAATGGCTATAATCAAAAAAGACAATACCAAGTGTTAGTGAGAATGTGAAGAGATCAGAACCCTCAGCATTGCTGGTGGGAATGTAAAATGGTACAGCCATTTTTGGAAAACCATTTTGTGGGTTTCTTAAAAGTGAAACAGAAACTTGCCATTTGACCCAACAATTCCTCTCCTTGGAATCTATCCAAGAGACATGAAAGTATATGTCCACACAATGACATGTATATGAATGTTCATAGTGGCATTATTTACAATAGCAAAAAATTATAAATAATCCAAATATCTAACAACTGGTGAATGGATAAACAAAATATGATATATCTGTACAATAGATACTATTCATCAAGAAAAAATAATAAAACTGATACAACATGCTATAACACAATACAACATGGACAACAACTGCAACAACAGGAATAAACCCCAAAATAGTACACTAACTAAAAGAAGCCAGATGCAAAAGATGACATACTCTATTATTTATTTATATAAAATATCTAGTAAAAAGACCAATTTATAGAGACAGAGGCAATCAGCAATTATCTTGGTCTAGAAGTTGGAGCAGGGATTACATGTAAACAGGCATGAAGGAACTTTTTGAGGTGATAAAAATGTTCTAAAACTGGATTGTGATGATGGTTTCCTAACTCCATAAATTTACTAATAATAATTAAGTTGAAAAAATAAAAATTAACATCGCCTGTAAAGGACAAATGAATATGATGTGCCTCCAGAGAAAGAGTATTTATTAGTATTCAAGCATAACTTTAATCTTACCAGAAAATACCAATGAATCCTCAATTGAAGAACTATGAAATAACTACCTATAATTTGAAAATCAATAAAAGGCTATTCCAGATAAAAGGTAACTAAGGAGAAATAACACCTGAAAGCAATACATAATCCTGATCTGCATCTTGCAGGCAAAAAAAGGGGGGGGGAGGGTAATATAGAGATAGATATTATTAAGGACATTATTCACAAAATTGATGAAATTGGGAAATGGACTGTCGATTAAGGTGTGGTATCAATGGTAAATTTTTCTAAATTTAATAACCACGAAAATATGTACTTGTTAGGAAATACACATTGAAATATTAAGGGTTAAAGAGGCCTAATATATACAACTTGCTCTCAAATGATTCGAGAAATATATTTGGACCTGATAATCCACCCTGACAATGTTTGGGTGTCTTGGAGGAAAGTAAAATCAGGCAGGGTGAAAGATTTCTGATTCTGATCCAGTGCCCAGTAAGAATTCCTGAACCATGTAGATATTATACTATAAAAACACCTAGAAGAGTACTTTGTAACTCTTTTCAGACCCATTTTTAGGGTGATGATCACGGTAATGATATTTTTACCATTCACTGAACACCTGCTACATGACATGCATGCCTCAAAACACTGGAAAGAGATTATAAACATAATAAACAGTAGCTACTATTTACTAAGCACTTAATATGTTCCAAGAACATTTTGCATCCATTACCTCACACTTGTCCTGCACAATAAATGGCATTTTCCTCATTTTATATGTAAACAAACTGAGGCTTAGACAAGGTAAAATGACTTGCCCATGATCACTCAATTAAAAAGTTGGCTGACCAGAAAAGAAAATCTGGTGCATCTACTCCAGGACCCCTGCTTGCTGCTTCTGTCTCGGGTGCGACCACATTCCCTTGGAAGGGGAGCTCAAGTAAAGATTCACCGGGCCCAGGGCAATGAGCTCACAGGTAAAACTGCTAAGGTCAGGCAAGCAGCTGACATGAGATAACACCAGCCAAGGACAGGCACCACTGCCGTTCAGAGCCCCACTACTGACAAGGCCAAGAGCCTGGTCCTTCTCCTTGAGTCCTGGCCAGCTTTGGGCTCGTCTATCTGTCCCTTATCCCATGGTACAACCACCCTCACTCTCCTGAGTGGAGTCTCCATTATTTCTCGAACGTGGAATGTTCAGAGTCGCAATGAATTCTCCAAGTTCAAAGCAATTTTTCTTGCAAGCTCCTCCCACCATTACCGCCCACTGCTGAGACATCAGGAACACAGCGGGTCCTCACACTACCTGGGAGGCCGGGCGCAGATTCACCTTCACCCAGCGGGAACCACAGGTTCCTGAGCAGGTCCTCAGCAACACTGCCGCAGAACATAGTGGGGTTTGCCCAGCCAGTGCCCCGCCCCAGGTCGCGCCACCTCTGGGGAATTCCCCGCTTTGCAGCCAGGAACATCAGAAAATCCAGCCGTAAAAGTGGATGAGGGCAGGTTGTGCAGGGGAAAACCTCGAACACAGCCAAAGAAATCTGAATTCCCTTCATGATTGTGTCACCAACAAGCAGGGCCCTGACCGAAAGCATAAACTACTCCTGTACCTGAAGCCTTCAATTGCTAAATGAAAACAAGTTCAGTGATCTTAAATTTTAGCATAAAACAATTTTTTGGAGGTACTAAGCCCCACGCTCCAGGAATTCTGATTCATTGGTTCTAGGATGGGGCAAAAACTCTGTATTTTCCCCAAAATTCCCAGGGAATGCCAATGCCGTCAAGTCACAGACCACAAGCTTAAATGTTCAAGAGAGGCCTGATATAAATATAATTCCAAACAAGGACTACTATGCAGCCCTAAAAATGTGAATGTATAGTATGCTATTGTGTAAAAAGGGACAAAGTGAGCAATCGCGTGATTTAGGGACGCAGGTAGAAGGAAATGTTTCATTGTTATCTGTAACTATATGGAAGTACTACATAGTCCAAAATCAGTGTTGGGTGTTTTCTCCTATTAACACTAGATAACGAGTTGAGCCGCACCTTCCCTTCTGCAGCCACCATACGCCATGCAGCTGCACCTTTAAACTGACACTCAGAAGAAAAGCCCTGATCCTGAACCATCTTAAGTGGAGCCTGACATGTCAGACCCAGCTCTGCTGGTTCTGAGCTCCCGGACAAACTAGTTAATCTTTCAGCATGATATTTTCATCATTTGTAGATTGGGCTTAAAACAGATACGCTTCGTAGTGTAAGTCAAATTAGATAAAGCAAACTCTTCAGTTGATGGTAGTATATTAATTACTATAGTATTAAACTGATATATACAGTATACTCATAAGTCGATCATGCAGGGGCTGCTTTAACACACTCAATTCTAATATTTCCCTTTCGACATGGCTGGAAAGATCTGACAGTAATTTACATTTTAGGCAAAGGAATAATGCTGTCATCCAAAAATTTACCCCATTATTAGACCAAAGAGCGAGGTCACTTCTGGGGCAGGGCATCGGGTTTACTATTCGGCTTTACTGTGACAGCATTCTAATCGTGGGACATAAAACTTACTCCATTTTCCGATTAAGGTCTTCAGCATCTGAGGTCAATTCTAGGAAAGCCGAGAACTTAACACTGGAAGCCAAGCCCTAGAGCGTCACGGCTGTTCTGCCCCCTATAGGCCCATAAAAGTATTTCCTTTCGGTGACCTACCAACCACAACCAAGGCTATTGGGCAACACAGATACCGCGATCTCTACGTGGCCGAGCCTCCCAGAGGGCGGAGTTTAGCGTGATGTGTGACTTCGGTTCCGCTGGCGTCACTTACAACATCATTGGCTATCCGGTTTGCAGCCTGGTCAGCGTGAGGAGCTGAAGATTCGAAGATTAGGCTCAGGTCACCTAGAAACTGGACTGAGAAACTCGCAGGAGGCACCCCGCGCCCCAGCTCCAAAGACTCGCCCCACGTGGAGCGGTCCTGCGCCGTACCCTCCCTGGGCCCGACTCACCTGTCATCAAGACCTGTCAATGCGTGACACTTGCCCTCCTCCAGGCTCCGGCAGTGCTTCCCTCAGCGCCATTGAGGTGATGGGCAGGCAGCTCCGCAGCCCCAGCGCCTACCCTGCGCCCTGGTGGAGACCTCAGCCAGGAGAACCCGACCCCGCCAAGCGGCGCCGAACTGAAGAGCCCTCGGGCCCCGAGTCCAGGACGGCGTCCACCCTGCAAGACCCCGCAGGGCCGCCGGCCTCAGGGGCGCTCACTTCCGTGGTGGTCCTGGCCGCGGGCTGTGCCCTGCAGCTACCCCTGGACGACGTCGATCTGGTGCTGGAGCCCGAACCAACGTCGGTCCTGCAAGTTTCTCTCGGAGAGCACACCCTCCTGCTGGTCCCTGAGGCCCTCCTGGGTTCGAGAGACGAAGGCTCAGGAGGGCAGGACCACTCGCCTCTGGGTCTGGAACCCGGCGCTCTCCCAGGTGCTCCCGGGGAAGACGTCGCCGTCCAACAGGGATTCTTCTGCGCATGTGTCCCAGAGATCGCCGCCCAAGAAGAGGCCTATGAGGAGGACGTGGACCCCGAGTTGTCGCCGCCTTGGATGGACCCTGCAGCCAGCTTAGCCACCGGGTTTTGCTCCTCAGCTACTAGGGTAAACAGCCCCGACTCGCCCAATTCCGACTTGCACAGCCCCAACTCGCACAGCCCCATCCCAGAGCCCACGCCTCGGGCCCCCACCCCTAGTCCAGAGAGACGTTCTCCTGGTCCCTATTTCGACCTGGACTTCCACCTTCTGGAGCCCTTCCCGACCTCACCACTCCAACCTCTACCTCCGTCTCCGAGTCCGGGTCCCCACGCGCGCCCACAGCGCCCTCCCGGTCCTGCGCGCAAGGCCCGGAGACGCCTGTTCCAGGAATGAACCGCCCCACATTCCCTCAGCATCTGGCTGAGGACCATGAGAGGATATTCTAATAGTGGCTGTGTGTACATTGCACAACCTACAAAAATCACTAAGGGTGGATAACGGACAGATGCTCTTTTGATGCAGGCTGCTTTGCAAAATTTTGGATCCATAGTGGACTAAAAACATCTGGAAGGAAGATCAGAAAGCAGCAAAACAATGCTTGAAATACAGTGTACTTGACTTTGGGTGGTGAGCACACAATGCAATATACAGAAGATTATAGAACTGTATAATTAAAACTTATATAATCTTATTAACCAATGTCACCGCAAGAAATTTAATTTTTTTTAAAAAGACATTAAAAAATATAGTGTACTTTCAGACATCCAGATTGCTACTTAGGTTGTTTTCTCTTTAGAAGTCACCTTCAAGCAGCTCTATTCCCCCTAGTTTTGCTTCAAACCTCAGTTGTAGCATTCTTCTGTAAAAATCCATCCTTTCCCCAGCACCCTACCATTTACCCCTTTTCTCCCAAATTAATTACTAAATTTCTTTTGTTTAATGGGTTTGGCCCTAGTGTCCATCCTAGTTTGTGACAACTTTCTCACCATTCTGAACGTTTATTATGACTCCAGCCCCTTTTGGGGGATCTAGCAAATAGCTGTATGTGGACAAATGTTTGTTGGGTACAAAAGAAACAATGGGGAACAATGATCATGCTCCCCCCTCTTTTTTAATTACTAGGTTATCAAATGGTTTAGCTATATTGCTGGGTTTGTGGGGGTTTTTCCCCAAACTTTTTTCCATTCTTTTCTTGTGTGTATGTGTGTGTGCGTGTGTGTGCGTGTGTGCGTGTGTGTGTGTTTTAGGTGAGGCAACCCTTGGTTGACCTCACAGAGTGCAAGGACTTTGTTGGCTTACAATTCCTTATTTTTTATTTTTTATGCCTACAGCACCTGGTCTTCCGAAGTGGTCTCCCATCCAAGTATTAACCAGGCCCGACCCTGCTTAGCTTCCAATATCAGTCGGGATTGGGCTTGGTCAGGGTAGCATGGCCATAAACTTTTCTTATATATTTTTAATATAATTTTTTTGTCCTGGAAAAGTTTATAATTCTAAAGATTCTGTGTTTCTGTAGTTCTAAGGTCCCAATGTATTTTGTACATTGTTCCTGGCATATGGAAATAATTTATTCCTGTGTCGATCTGGTATCCAGCAGAACTATTTAATTTCTTTAATGGCTTGTCTGTAGATTCTCTTGCTTGACTGATAAAGACAATAATATCTCCAAATAATGAGAAATTGTCTCCTTTTTTGACAAGCTTCTTACATCTTATTTTTCTAGTCTTTCTTATTAGATATAACTTCAAGTCCAAGGTGAATAGTAACAGGGGCATCCCTGTCTCATGGCTTGTGTTAATGCAGATGCTTCTGAATTTTACCGTAAGTTATAATCTTTTCTGTACATGGTTGGTAGGTAACCCTTATCCTATTGAAGATGTTTTCAGACTTTCTGATCATTAAAAATTTGGGATTTTTGCTTTGTTTCTTTTTTGACTTTGCTCAGATTATTCTACATGTTGGCAGTTTATTGTTTGTATACTTTAAGAGGCTATATGGAATCTTTGGGTTTTGGGGGTACATACAGAAACCTAGCAGCAGAGCAAATGAGACCAAGCGTGGGGCTTCAGGAATTTAAAAAATTGGATGCCCTTCTGGCAACTTGAGAAGAGAAGGTAGAAGGGGAAAGGAAGTAACTGCAGGGTCACCTTAAGGATTTTAAATGTTAAATTTTAACACAAATTTTTCTGTATTCATAGATGATTCTTTGTATTTTCTTTTTTGATCTATTCATGTAGTGATCTGCACTGATAGACCTTATAACGTTGAAGTACCTTTGTATTTCTGCCATTCCACATTATTTTATACAATTCTAATACCACACTGGGTTCTTTCGTGTTTTGTTTTTTGTTTGTTTATGGTCATATACATACCATTCCTAATTTTAAAATGTCTTTATTTTGCCGTTTGCTCCATATTTTATAATGAAATAAAATATTAATGATAAAACTAATATCAAGATGCTAGCTTTTTTTGTTGAACATCTATAATTATTATTACGACTTACTAACATGCTTTGCCAGTATCTTTGCTCATCTTCTGTTCTTGCATTCCACTCCTTCATTCTGTCGTCATTTTTCTTCTTATCATTTTATTCTTATATTCTTTCAGATTCTTTCACTGTGGCCTGTTTGTAAATCTTAGTTTTATATACCTTCAAACTAGTACTATTTTCTAGCTGGATTTAGAATTCTAAAATGATGCCTGTACTCTCTCACTACTTTAACGATATTACTCTATTATTTTCCCTATCATTTATTGTCACAGATGAGAAGTCTTCTGTCATTTGTATTGCCATTTCTTTGTAGGGGATTAGGCTGTCTACTTTAGTATTTTTCTTGACTTTGATGTTCTACAGTTTCAACCTGATGTGTTTAGTGGTAGTAATTTTGCCTGCTGCAACTCAGTAAGCTTTCTAAATCTGGAAAATTAACTCTTTTCTTAAAATCACAAAAAAGAACAAATCAATATTCCTTAGACTATCAAACCCCTCTTCAATCTCTGGAACTTCTAATAGAGAAATGGTGGAGCTGCTCGATATCCCTACCCCTGTATCTCTTAATATCTAGATTATGTTTTTATATTCTTTATAATAATCCCCTTCCTCTCTTCTAATTCACTGATTCTATGATTCTATCATTTTCTATTTTCAAAATTCTGTTTATGTTCTTTATAAGACAGTGTTCTTTGCAAACACTGCATTTTTCCTTTTCAAAACTTCTAATTCCTTGGTTTCTTTATATCTATCTGCTCTTATTTCACAACTTTTGGTCAATGCCATATAAACTTCTTGTTTCATGGATGTTATCTCTTCCTTTATCTCTAGAAGAATTTAAAACATTTTAAGTTCTGTATCAATTCGCTCAAAAATTACATTTCCTCAGGCATAAAATCTCCAATTATTTGGCAACATTTAATGAGACTAATTTTCTCCTGGGCAAAGCAATTTTGTTGTGTGGACATAGTTTGAATGGGAATTCATTTTCTGCGCCACATTTGAATTTTGCATTTGCTCCTTTTTTTTCCCAGCTTTATTGAAATATAATAATTAGTTGATCATATGAATTTGCTTCTTCCTGTTTCCCTAAGATCTAGAAGTCAGAGCCACCCATATGGAGCTCATATAATTTGCCTCTCAAAAATCACAGTTCTCATCCTCAAGCAATCACACATGGCCCAGTTTCCAATTACAGTGCTGTAGAGATGCTGGGGTGGAATGTCCATATCTCCACTCTATCAGGACTGCTGAGAGTATTAGCAGCTAACTCAGCTGAATTTCTCTCTAGAAATTACCCTCAACCTCCATGGGTATTCCACTTCAATGACTATTTGATTAAGGGATATACAGGCCCAGCCACTTAATTCAAGACAACGACTAAAGGACCTTCCCAATTCTAAAGCTCTCAATGGGTTGGCTGAAGCCTTTGTTACAACTGCATCCCAGTTCAACTTCTCCATCTGCCCAGTCATATTTTCTTTGTTCCCCCAAATTCCTGCATGCAAATCTCCATCTCAAAGCCTGTCCAAACTGATTTAAGACAGCTTGTGCCCAGAGGCATAATAGGAAGCAGCCACTGAAATGGATTGTAGAACTGAATCAAGGAGCATGAATAGCCTACGGCATGCTACAGCAAAGCAAATAAATCTTAATCAGTGGTGAACGTACTGAGATACTGGTAAAAAGGAATACACCGGCACTGGGAATATCCCAGGCATTTGAGAAATTTGGGGACAGAATAATAATAAGAACTAATATTAACAAGTAGTGTGGGTCTCAATGGTTGTTGCTGGGACAGTCAGTGCATTTGAGAAAAGGAATGAAAGGCTAAGAGTGATTAATTACTAATAAAACCTAAATATAAGATCAAGACAGTCTCCTTGGCAGCATACAAATAGCCTTTTGTCTCCTGGAGCTATAGAGAGAAAATAACTGAGGATCTGGCCCAGGATTTACTGTAGAGATAGTGGAGAACCATAAAAGGTTGAATTTTCAAACTAAACAAGTCTATAATGGGGAAATCATTGGGCTCTGAGACATTGGATGGACATAACCAGGTAGATATGTGAATATCTTAAATCACCAGATCCCTCTCAATACTCGTAGCCCACAGAAGTGGCCCACTCCTCTCTGTAAAAAGTTGGCGCTTCTTTCTTGCTTTCAGGAGATGCCTAGCAAGACAACATGCACCAATCTCAAGATCTACCCTCATCTCCTCTCCTTACTACTGGGCCACTAAGTAAAGCTAAGTACAATATAAGCCAGCCAGGGAAATGCTACATAAGGAAGGGAACTACATATACCCTAGAAGAGCTGCAGAACTCACTCAGCGTATACCAGCAGAAGTCAACTATACGATGGAGGGTGTTGGATGTCACCCGGGAGAAAGGAGAGTTTATTAATTTAGAAGCACTCTCTCGCAACACAAGATTGAACACCCTGGCAAGGGGCCCTGTAAGAGAGAACTCACATTCATACAGGTGACTCTTGAGAACTTGGAGAAAAAGATGTCCCACACACGGTTAAGTAGAAATGCCCTAACTTCCAAGGCAAACAGTAGAATAGAGGATTAAAAGGTTCAGAGCAGTGGGTATGATACAATGGATATACTAACTAAGGCTGCATAATATATCAGCTACTATGAAATGTGGGAGTGCCTAGAGGAACATTGTATAACAAAGCAATAAAGAATGCACTGGCGAGGCACAACTATCATTGAAAAGCTCAGTAGGCCAGAATTGGCCAGTGGTGGCAAGAGATGCCATTAGAGAGCTAGACTCCTTGGTAGCCATGGGATAATGGGATCTGAGAGTGAATATACAAAACAATGGCCAGACCACAAATGACAATAGAATTCTGACCCACAACCTTCACAGCAACCAGCCCAGAAAGAAAA